CTGCTGCCTGTACTACACCTGCTGCCTCTACTACACCTGCTGCCTGTACTACACCTGCTGCACAACACCTGCTGCCTGTACTACACCTGCTTTCTGTACTACACCTGCTGTACTACACCTGCTGCCTGTACTACACCTGCAGTACTACACCTGCTGCCTGTACTGCACCTACTGTCTGTACTACACCTGCTGCCTGTACTGTACCTTCTGTACTACACCTGCTGCCTGTACTACACCTGCTGTCTGTACACCTGCTGCCTGTACTACACCTGCTGTCTGTACTACATCTTCCGTCCTACACCTGCTGCCTGTACTACACCTGCTGTCTGTACTACACCTGCTGCCTGTACTACACCTGCTATACTCCACCTGCTGCCTATACTACACCTGCTGTCTGTACTACACCTGCTGTACTACACCTGCTGCCTGTACCACACCTTCTGCCTGTACCTCACCTGCTGTCTGTACTACACCTGCTGCCTGTACTACACCTCCTGCCTGTCCTACACCTGCTGTACTACACCTGCTGCCTGTACTACACATGCTGCCTGTACTACACCTCCTCTACTACAGCTGCTGTCTGTACTACACCTGCTGCCTGTACTACACCTGCTGTACTACAGCTGCTGTCTGTACTACACCTGCTGCCTATACTACACCTGTCTCTACTACACCTGCTGCCTGTACTACACCTGCTGTCTGCACTACACCTGCTGTCTGTACTACACCTGCTGCCTGTACTACACCTGCTGTACTACACCTGCTGTCTTTACTACACCTGCTATCTGTACTGCACCTGCTGCCGGTACTACACCTGCTGCCTGTACTACACCTGCTGCCTGTACTAAACCTGCTGTACTACACCTGCTGTCTATACACCTGCTGTCTTTACTACACCTGCTGTCTGTACTACACCTGCTGTAATACACCTGCTGTACTACACCTGCTGCCTGTACTACACCTGCTGCCTGTACTACACCTGCTGTACTACACCTGCTGCCTGTACTACACCTGCTGTCTGTACTACACCTGTCTGTACTACACCTGCTGTACTACACCTGCTGTCTGCACTACACCTGCTGCCTGTACTGCACCTGCTGTACTACACCTGCTGTCTGTACTATCCCTGCTGTACTACACCTGCTGCCTGTACTACACCTGCTGCCTCTACTACACCTGCTGCCTGTACTACACCTGCTGCACAACACCTGCTGCCTGTACTACACCTGCTGTCTGTACTACACCTGCTGTACTACACCTGCTGCCTGTACTACACCTGCTGTACTACACCTGCTGCCTGTACTGTACCTACTGTCTGTACTACACCTGCTGCCTGTACTGTACCTTCTGTACTACACCTGCTGCCTGTACTACACCTGCTATCTGTACACCTGCTGCCTGTACTACACCTGCTGTCTGTACTACACCTTCCGTACTACACCTGCTGCCTGTACTACACCTGCTGTCTGTACTACACCTGCTGCCTGTACTACACCTGCTATACTCCACCTGCTGCCTATACTACACCTGCTGTCCGTACTACACCTGCTGTACTACAGCTGCTGTCTGTACTACACCTGCTGCCTGTACTACACCTGCTGTACTACAGCTGCTGTCTGTACTACACCTGCTGCCTATACTACACCTGTCTCTACTACACCTGCTGCCTGTACTACACCTGCTGTCTGCACTACACCTGCTGTCTGTACTACACCTGCTGCCTGTACTACACCTGCTGTACTACACCTGCTGTCTGTACTACACCTGCTATCTGTACTGCACCTGCTGCCGGTACTACACCTGCTGCCTGTACTACACCTGCTGCCTGTACTAAACCTGCTGTACTACACCTGCTGTCTATACACCTGCTGTCTTTACTACACCTGCTGTCTGTACTACACCTGCTGTAATACACCTGCTGTACTACACCTGCTGCCTGTACTACACCTGCTGCCTGTACTACACCTGCTGTACTACACCTGCTGTACTACATCTACTGCCTGTACTACACCTGCTGTCTGTACTACACCTGTCTGTACTACACCTGCTGTACTACACCTGCTGTCTGCACTACACCTGCTGCCTGTACTGCACCTGCTGTACTACACCTGCTGTCTGTACTATCCCTGCTGTACTACACCTGCTGCCTGTACTACACCTGCTGCCTCTACTACACCTGCTGCCTGTACTATACCTGCTGCACAACACCTGCTGCCTGTACTACACCTGCTGTCTGTACTACACCTGCTGTACTACACCTGCTGCCTGTACTACACCTGCTGTACTACACCTGCTGCCTGTACTGCACCTACTGTCTGTACTACACCTGCTGCCTGTACTGTACCTTCTGTACTACACCTGCTGCCTGTACTACACCTGCTGTCTGTACACCTGCTGCCTGTACTACACCTGCTGTCTGTACTACACCTTCCGTACTACACCTGCTGCCTGTACTAGACCTGCTGTCTGTACTACACCTGCTGCCTGTACTACACCTGCTATACTCCACCTGCTGCCTATACTACACCTGCTGTCTGTACTACACCTGCTGTACTACACCTGCTGCCTGTACTACACCTGCTGCCTGTACTACACCTGCTGTACTACACCTGCTGTCTGGACTACATCTGCTGCCTCTACAACACCTGCTGCCTGTACTACACCTGCTGCCTGTACTCCACCTGCTGCCTGTACTACACCTGCTGCCTGTACTACACCTGCTGTCTGTACTACACCTGCTCCCTGTACTACACCTGCTGTCTGTACTACACCTGCTGTCTGTACTACACCTGTTGTACTACACCTGCTGCCTGTACTACACCTGCTGCCTGTACTACACCTGCTGTCTGTACTACACCTGCTGCCTGTACTACACCTGCTGCCTGTACTACACCTGCTGTACTACACCTACTACCTGTATTACACCTGCTGTACTACACCTACCGTACTACACCTGCTGCCTGCACTACAACTGCTATCTGTACTACACCTGCTGTACTACACCTGCTGTCTGTACTACACCTGCTGTCTGGACTACACCTGCTGTACTTCACCTGCTGCATGTACTACACCTGCTGTCTGTACTACATCTGCTGCACTACACCTGCTGTACTACACCTGCTGCCTGTACTACACCTGCTGCCTGTACTACACCTGCTGTCTGTACTAAACCTGCTGCACTATGCCTGCTGTACTACACCTGCTGTCTGTACTACACCTGCTGCCTGTACTACACCTGCTGTCTGTACTACACCTGTCTGTACTACACCTGTCTGTACTACACCTGCTGTACTACACCTGCTGTCTGTACTACACCTGCTGCCTGTACTACACCTGCTGTATGTACTACACCTGCTGTACGACACCTGCTGCCTGTACCACACCTTCTGCCTGTACTACACCTGCTATCTGTAGTACACCTGCTGCCTGTACTACAACTCCTGCCTGTCCTACACCTGCTGTACTACACCTGCTGCCTGTACTACACATGCTGCCTGTACTATACCTCCTGTACTACACCTGCTGTCTGTACTACACCTGCTGCCTGTACTACACCTGCTGTACTACAGCTTCTGTCTGTACTACACCTGCTGCCTATACTACACCTGTCTCTACTACACCTGCTGCCTGTACTACACCTGCTCTCTGCACTACACCTGCTGTCTGTACTACACCTGCTGTACTACACCTGCTGTACTACACCTGCTGCCTGTACTACACCTGCTGTACTACACCTGCTGCCTGTACTACACCTGCTGTACTACACCTGTTGTCTGTACTACACCTGCTGTACTACACCTGCTGCCTGTACTACACCTGCTGCCTGTACTACACCTGCTGCCTGTACTACACCTGCTGTACTACACCTGCTGCCTGTACTACACCTGTTGTCTGTACTACACCTGTTGTCTGTACTACACCTGCTGCCTGTACTACACCTGCTGCCTGTACTACACCTGCTGCCTGTACTACACCTGCTGTCTGTACTACACCTGCTGTACTACACCTGCTGTCTGTACTACACCTGCTGTACTACACCTGCTGCCTGTACTACACCTGCTGTCTGTACTACACCTGCTGCCTGTGCTACACCTGCTGTACTACACCTGCTGCCTGTACTACACCTGCTGTACTACACCTGTTGTCTGTACTACACCTGCTGTACTATACCTGCTGCCTGTACTACACCTGCTGCCTATACTACACCTGCTGCCTGTACTACACCTGCTGTCTGTACTACACCTGTTGTCTGTACTACACCTGCTGTACTACACCTGCTGCCTGTACTACACCTGCTGCCTGTACTACACCTGTCTGTACTACACCTGCTGTACTACACCTGCTGCCTGTACTACACCTGCTGCCTGTACTACACCTGCTGCCTGTACTACACCTGCTGTACTACATCTGCTTCCTGTACTACACCTGCTGCCTGTACTACACCTGCTGCCTGTACTACACCTGCTGTACTACACCTGCTGTACTACACCTGCTGTACTACACCTGCTGCCTGTACTACACCTGCTGTACTACACCTGCTGTACTACACCTGCTGCCTGTACTACACCTGCTGTACTACACCTGCTGTACTACACCTGCTGCCTGTACTACACCTGCTGCTGATGAACCGCCTGTACCAACCCGCTAGCTTTCTGTTCCTACAAGACAGTGGCAGCGGACGCTAACGCTTAAGCCCAAGGGGCATCGTCATCGTGATCCATGGGGTCAGACATCCCCGTGGGAGTCCACTGCACCTTTCTTCACTTGTTTACACTCTCCTCTGTCTTGTGCGGTGCCAGTAAGCTCAAGTCGCGTCTTTCTGGGCACCAATCTCTGATGTCGTGGTCGTCAAGGCGTTCCCTGTGAGCTCTTCGTCTCTTTCCGATTCCTTCCCATTTCATTCCGAACTGGGAGTGTGTGGGGGGGGGGGGCGGTGGTGGGGGGGGGGGGTGCAGGATGGGACCGTGGGGGGCAAAGACTGAAAGACTCTGAGGCGTGGACAATGAGAGAGCTGCGAGTTTAATGGTACGCGACACGAGATTAGTGCGGTGGGATTTCAACACGCACACGAAGAAAGAGATCCTTCCCCCCCCCCCGTATGGCCTTTAACAGACTGCCGGGGCAAGTGCTGTTCACGAGCAGCACCTATGAAGGCCGGCACGGCGCACGAGGGGGTGGGGTTTGCCAGCACCACGCCCGGCCGCCTTTGTCTCCTTACCAGTGCTGATGTTAACACACACAGCACCGGGTACTCATTTGAGGCCAAGTCGACCTCGGGGAAGCCCACAACCGGTTCATCAGATATTCTCCATCACTGGTGTTGGTGGCCGTGACCGGGAATCGAACACGGGTCGTGAGCTGACAGCGTTCTTGCTGGAGGCCTCCTGCTGATGTCAACGAGTGCCAATTTGTCCCTATAGATTTTTTTTTTCAAATCGCCGGGTAATTTGCTTATTCCGTTTAAATACGTCAAGCGGGAATGAAGAGCGAATGTCAACCGGCCATCGATCCTCACAGCAGGTAGTTGCCACCAAGTTCGGGTTTGGCCAGGACAGTTTGGGGGGAATAAGCCACCTGCGTCCGGGCGGAAAACCACCGATTGGTAACACAGGATCTACCGCTCCCATGGGTCCTTGCGTTGAACTTCATCGCAGTTCAGCTGCAAGCGCAGCTGTGATGATCGAGCTCGTGCTGACTTGAAAAATATGAGTTTGGCGAGTGAATGGGCGAGTGGGTTAGGGCTAAGGTTGCCACCTCATCCACAGATTTTTTTTTTCCCATCAGATCTTTGCTACAAAACAATTCGTGCTGCCCAAAACACACACACACACACGCAGAGATGTCAATTCCTGAACTGTGTCCGGATCATAGCCCCGACAGGCTGGCCGCTGTCAGCCCTGGCCACCCAACCCACCTCAACTATCCACTGGCACGTGCCAGCCCGTGCCAGCCCGTGTCAAGCCGTGCCAGGTCGTGCCAGGCCGTGCCAACGCATGTGCCACCAGTGCCACTAGTGGCACGCGCTGCTAAAGTAGAGCTTGATGTTGCGCAGGGCCCCCTTGGCGTCGTACGTGAACGCCGGGCAGCCCGCGCCGTCGCAGCCCGCGCCGCCACCAGCCTGGTGGCCGCACTGGCCCGGCGGCACACCGGGGCCTACGGGGAGGCCTGGGCCCACGGCGGGGAGACCGTGGCCCAGCATCGGGACGCTTCGGCCCCCGGGCAGGGCCGAGCCCACGGGCAGGCCTTGGCCTGTCGGCAGGCCCTGACCCACCGCGATGCCGTGACCCATCGGGACGCCTTGCACCACGTGGAGGCCTTGCCCCGCGGGAAAGTTCGGCCCTACGCTCAGGCTCTGGCTCACGGGGAGGCCCGGCCCGCCGACACTCGGGCTGGGGCCCGCGGAGAAGCTCCTGGTTCGCTCGCCGCCACCGTCGACGCGGAAGAAGCCCTTCTCCGCTCCGAGGGCCGGCGTCTGCTCCCCCGCTTCCCCGCCTCTCGCCGCGTCTCCGCCGTAGCTCCCCCGTGCGCACCCTCCACCTCCTCCGCCTCCTCCACCTCCTCCACCTACGCCCGCCGCCGCCGCCGCGGCCCCGCGCACGCTAGGCCCGCCACCTTCCTCGTGGCCCCCGGAGCCCTCGGCGGGGCCCTCGCTCGGCCGGCCCGAGAAGCCCACGTTCGCGCCCATGAGGTCGTAGGGGGTCGCGTCCGGCCTCCACTCCATCGCCTCCTCCGAGGCGGAGTCTGCGTGCCAGAGAGCGCAGCGAGATTAGCGCGTTCACTCGAATTCGTCCCTCTTCTTAACACCGATCATTGGAGACGACCTCTCTCTTACCCGCTGTGCGTAACGTCTGCGTCGTGTACACGCACGCGCGCGCACGGCAAGGCCTCGTTTAACGCGGCAGATGCGTTCCTGAAAAGTGCCACGCGAAGCGAAAACTAAACAAATAATTTTCCCCCCCCCTATAAAGTTCGGCCAAACGCGAAGTTTGACCGCCGAGGGTAACGCTTCCGCTCGAGAAAGTAGTTCCACGTTGAAAGTGTGCCCCGGAATGGATGCACCGGCGCGTTTTCGCGTCGTGTGAACGCCGCACGTGGACTTAACGCCGATATACATACACATACAGTGCACACGCTTTCTTTTGAAGAGTGAAATGGCGCTTGAGGGCGTTATGACCCAGTGTCACCACCACCACCACCTCCCCCCGCTGTGCACGGATATCATCAGGACATAGATGGAGATGCGATCGGGACGAGGGCATTGTGATTGGTGGGACGAGAGTGGCCAATGATGCTTGCAGAAGGAAAGAGTGCGAGTGACGGAGAGAGACGGGGAGACGGGGAGAGAGGCAGGGAGTCAGAAGATCGTTTGGAGGGAGTGAGGAGAGTTAGAGAGAGAGAGAGAAATGGAGAGATGACATCCCAAGAATTTTCCTTGAAGGACACACCAATTGTACAATGATTTAAGACCCAAAACCCAGACATTCCATTCTCGCGCATGATGGCAGCAATGTTGAGCGAGATGCCAATGGCGCGGTCTGCTAAAGATTATGAGAGGGCTTCAGGAGAGACAGAGAGGAGAGTGTTGCTCATCCTCCTCCGTTGAAGGATCGCAGACTCCAGTGGGTTTCACTGAGAGCTCCGCTCCACCGTCACGGATGGCGTCTTTCATAAAAACGCTCCGAGTCTCTGTGTCTGTCTGTGTCTCTGTGTCTGTGTCGCTGTGTCTGTCTGTGTCTCTGTCTCTGTGTCTGTGTCGCTGTGTCTGTCTGTGTCTCTGTGTCTGTGTCTCTGGCTGTGTCGCTGTGTGTGTCTGTGTCTCTGTGTCTGTGTCTGTCTGTGTCGCTGTGTGTGTCTGTGTCTCTGTGTCTGTGTCTCTGTCTGTCTGTGTCGCTGTTTCTGTCTGTGTCTCTGTGTCTGTGTCTCTGTCTGTGTCGCTGTGTGTGTCTGTGTCTCTGTGTCTGTGTCTCTGTCTGTCTGTGTCGCTGTGTGTGTCTGTGTCTCTGTGTCTGTGTCTCTGTCTGTCTGTGTCGCTGTGTCTGTGTCTCTGTGTCTGTGTGGCTGTGTCTGTCTGTGTCTCTGTGTCTGTGTGGCTGTGTCTGTCTGTGTCTCTGTGTCTGTGTCTCTGGCTGTGTCGCTGTGTGTGTCTGTGTCTCTGTCTTTGTGTCTCTGTCTGTGTCGCTGTGTCTGTCTGTGTCTCTGTGTCTGTGTCTCTGTCTGTGTCGCTGTGTGTGTCTGTGTCTCTGTGTCTGTGTCTCTGTCTGTCTGTGTCGCTGTGTGTGTCTGTGTCTCTGTGTCTGTGTCGCTGTGTCTGTCTGTGTCTCTGTGTCTGTGTCTCTGTCTGTGTCGCTGTGTGTGTCTGTGTCTCTGTGTCTGTGTCTCTGTCTGTGTCGCTGTGTGTGTCTGTGTCTCTGTGTCTGTGTCTCTGTCTGTCTGTGTCGCTGTGTGTGTCTGTGTATCTGTGTCTCTGTGTGTGTCTGTGTCTCTGTGTGTGTCTGTGTATCTGTGTCTGTCTGTGTCGCTGTGTCTGTGTCGCTGTGTCTATGTCGCTGTCTGTCTGTGTCTCTGTGTCTGTCTCTGTGTCTGTGTCTCTGTGGCTGTGTCACTGTGTCTGTGTCTGTCTGTGTCACTGTGTCTGTGTCGCTGTGTCTGTCTGTGTGTCTGTGTGTCTGTGTCTGTCTGTGTCTCTGTGTCTGTGTCGCTGTGTCTATGTCGCTGTGTCTGTGTCGCTGTGTCTGTCTGTGTCTGTCTGTGTCACTGTGTCTGTGTCGCTGTGTCTGTGTCTGTCTGTGTCACTGTGTCTGTGTCGCTGTGTCTGTGTCTCTGTGGCTGTGTCACTGTGTCTGTCTGTGTCTGTCTGTGTCTGTGTCTGTCTGTGTCTCTGTGTCTGTGTCTCTGTGTCTGTCTGTGTCTGTGTCTCTGTGTCGCTGTGTCTGTCTGTGTCTGTCTGTGTCGCTGTGTCTATGTCGCTGTGTCTGTCTGTGTTGCTGTGTCTGTCTGTGTCACTGTGTGGCCACAGTCTGTGCTCATTCTTGACTTAAAGCTTTCGTGACCGTAGGAGTTCATATTACGTTGGGTCTTTCGGTAAAGTCACGGAGAACAAACAAAAAAAGTACAAAAAACTACGACGTCTCGATCGCAACACAAGCATAAATCATCAGGAGAAAAACATGTCGCGTTAATGTTTGCATTCTATATCAGTAGGATCCCGGTACAGAGAACAAACCGGTTCGTGTCAGCTGGGAGAGATACAGGAACCCCGTGGACAAAAGTCCCGAACGCTGCGCTCCTGAGCTTAGAGGAGGAGGAAGGAGATTGGGCTCGCTGCCGCCCCACACCAAGTGGCAGCCACAAGTTGGGTGGTGTTGTTGTTGTTGTTTATGTTCACGTGTGACGGGGAAGGTGAGGTGAGGGGGGGGGGACACTTAAAGAAGTAGAGGGGGCGGGCATCTTTGAGTGTGTGGGTTTGCTATCACGGTTTATCTTGTTGTGCCTGTGTCGTTGGCTTTCTGAAAAGACTCCACCGCTGCGAAATCTCGCCAGGCGCTTCCAGCGCAATCTCAACGATTCCTTTGAGGTGAGATTTTTTTATCATATAAAACACACTCCTCCGCTCCAGATGAAGGGGGTCGTGTGCGGTGGAATCAAGTGTTGGCACCCCCCCGCCCCTCCCACCACCTCTGCCCACCTCGATTACCTCCCGGGGACATCCGGCCGGCCACACGAACAATACATCTCTCGCCCTCCCGTCGATGGCGCACGTGCGCGTGAGTTGGCACAGGAGGAAGTTACAGCCGGCCGCATCTGCCGGTCATCTTAGTCAGCCAACCCGTGGCACCCGCTGGGTCTGTCCCGTGACCTCCTTGCCAGCGGCGAGCCTCCCGACACTTCACGTGCTTGCCTCAAAGTGCACCTGGCCTGGCACCGTCGCTTTGGTGGCGAACGGCGGTGTTGTTGGTGTTTGTTGCGTGCGGCCGGGCAAGCGCAGCGGTCAGCGCGCCGCGCTACGAACCCGGCGACCCCGGGTTCGATTCCCGCTCACGACCAACACCGGTGACGGTTCTCTGAACCGGTCCTGGGCCTCCCCTAGGTTGACTCGGCCTCAAACGTGGTGCTGCTCGCTACCAGCGCTCGCCCCAACAGCCCGTGACAGGCTCCACGAGGGATCTTTGTGTTCTGTGTGTCCCCGCACCCCACCCCCGTCAGCGCACCGGTCACCAGCGCGTCGCCCGAGTGCAGGCCGTGCTTGAGTTTGGCGTGCCGCGTCAGGTTGCCCTTGAGGGTGAAGCGGCTTGGGCAGCGTGGGCACGTGAAGGGCTTGCGCGCCGCGTGCACGTGCATGTGGCCCATGAGGTTGTGCAGGCGGTTGAACTCCTTGCCGCACACCTGGCGCAAGAGGGGCGGGAGGGGGGGGGTGGGCACGAGCGAGAGGGAAGGAGATGGGAGGGAGAGCGGGCGAGAGGTTTATTTGCCGTGTCCGTCTATCCACCTCTCGTAACCGGTTGTCGTGAGCGGTGATGGATACAAGTGCGGGGGAGTGGGTTAGGCGATGGAGGCGGTGGAGGCGATGGAGGCGGTGGAGGCGATGGAAGTGATGGAGGTTTCCTGTGGCTTTAATGAGCGTTGAGGCATCGGTGCTCATCGCCTGTTTACAGCCCTGCAGCTGAGCATGTGGTGGAAATTACACATTCCTATGGCGGGGCTGCTGGTGCTTAGACCAGGTGGTGGACAATTGGGGACATCCCTCCTCCATCTCCTCTCCCACCTCTCGCTGACCTCTCAACGGATGGTGGTGGTGATGTTGGACTGGCGGTGATCTGATCTGTCGTGACGGTGCTGAGGCGGTGGACGACCCGGGAGGTCCCTCCGTTTCCATCACCTCCGCCGCCACCCCCTCCGCCTCTCGCTCACCTTGCAGTGGAAGGGCTTGCTGTCCGAGTGCACCACCATGTGCGCCTTGAGCGTCTGCTTCTGCGCGAACGCCTTGAGGCACACGTGGCACTGGTGGGCGCGCTCGCTGCTGTGCGTCAGCAGGTGCCGCTTCATGTTGGCGTGCAGCGTGAAGCCGCGGCCGCACACGCCGCACTCGTGCTCCTTCACGCCCTGCGCGCGGGCACACGGGTGGGCTGAGAGAGGAGCGAGCGCGCACTGGCCTCCCTGCCCCTCTCCACCTCGCTCTCACTCTGTCACTCTGTCACTCTCTCCCCACTCGCGCCCTCCCCCCAGCCACCGGTAGTGCGGCGGCAAGCGCCACGAACCTGGGGACCCGGGTTCCATTGCCGCTCGCGGCCAACACGGCCAGTGAAGATTATCTGAACCGGTCCTGGGCCTCCCCCTAGGTCGACTCAGCCTCAAATGAGTAACTGGAGCGGTGTGTAAACGTCGCCACTGGGGAGACGAAGGCGACCGGGCGTGGTGCTGGCAACCCAGCCCCCTCGTGTGCCGTTCCGGCCTTCATAGGTGCTCGCTAACAGCACTTGCCCCAACCTTCTGGTAAGGCTATACGCGGGGATCTTTGTCTTTATATTTGTGACACTCCCCTCCCCTCACCTTGTGGGTGAGCGCGTGCTGCTTGAGGTGGTGCAGCTGAGCGAACTCGGTGCCACACTCGGCGCACACGTGCGGACGCTCCCCACGGTGGCGCTGCGCGTGGCTCTCCAGCTGGCTCCGGTAGCGGAACCGGCGCACGCACTCCCCGCACTGGAACTCGCCCACGCCTGCACCTCCATCCTGCTGCTGCTGCTGCTGCTCCTGCTGCCCTACTGCTGCCGCCGCATGGCCCCACTACTCGCAGGGACCCCGCACGCCCGCCCGGGAGAAGAATAAAAAAAGAAAATTAGGAATTGCTACGGACAACACAGGCGGGGAATTGAGGTGAAGATCTTTCCTGGGAAAGATCTTCATCATCGCCATCATCACCACTCATCACCATCATTACCATCATCATCGTCACCATCGCCATCATCATCATCACCACCATCATCGTCATCATCGCCATCATCATCACACATCACCACCATCAGCCATGACCAATCCATAATCGCCATCGCTATTTCGTTTACCGTTCATAGCTCACACACAGCGCATCTCTAAACCCCCATCGTGTTCTATCCACTGCTGGATGAACGCCTCCAGCGAGCCTCCACTACGTCGCACGATCCTGCGACAGTCCGCCTAGCACCCCCCCTCCCCCCTGCCCCGCCCTTCCTCCCCACTGAAGTTCACCGCTCCATCTCCCGACGGAGAACGTCCTCCCCCCTCCCATCCGCGCTCCCTCTTTTGCCTGCCGCTCACCATCATCAGTCTCGCCCAGCGGCCCACTGGCTACTCGACAGCCGGTGATGTTTAGGGGTCACGGCCATGGTAACGTGGAAATCACCTTGAGCTCGGTGGAGTCAGGGACGGCTCCGGCCGCGTCGCACTGCTCACAGTGACGTCCCGGCTCCGGGGTCACCGGGGTCACGGCCACCAAGTCCCCCGCACCCTCCGCCTCCTGGCCCTTCGCTCCCTCCCCTCCATCGTCCTCATCGCCATCATCGACGTCGCCATCACGATCATCGTCATCCTCGTCGTCTTCGCCGCCGCCGCCGCTGCCATTGTGGTGTTCACCCACATCCTCTTCCTCCTCTTCTTCTTCGTCGTCCACACCATCGCCACCATCGCCACCATCAGCACCCGCGCCTCTACCCGCACCGGCGATGGCGCTGCCGCTGCCGCTGTTACCGACGTTGGCGCCACCATCACCGCCGCGATCGCCGCCATCACAACCGCCACGACCCCCACCACCACGGTCGCCGTCGCCGTCGTCGCCGTCGCCGGCGCCGTCGCGACCGCCCCCGCCTGCCCCTGGGTGGCGGCTGCGCTCGTGCGCCCGCAGCTCGCTGGGGTAGGCGAAGCCCCGGCCGCACTGCCCGCACGGGTGGCAGCGCACGGCGCCGTGGCGCATCAGGTGGCGCTTGAGGTGGCTCGTCTGCGTGAACGCGCGGCCGCACACGTGGCACGGGTGGGGGCGCGCGCCCGCGTGCGTCAGCCGGTGCGTCTGCAGGTGGCTCAGCTGGCGGAAGAGCTTGCCGCACTGGGGGCACGCGTGCGGCTTGGCGCCGCTGTGGCCCAGGATGTGGGTCACCAGGTTGTACTTGGAGGCGTAGGAGCGCTCGCACTGGCGGCACTGCCAGCGCCGCCCCCCCCCCGCCGCCGCCGTGCCCGCCGGGGCCCCCTGCCGGGGCCCCCGCGGCGCCGCCCCCCGCGGCCGCGACGCAGTAGGAGTCGTCGATGCAGACGCTCACGTCCATGCGGTCCAGCCGCTTCGTCTCGCCCTCCGTCTCCGCCGCGGCGGCCGACGGCGATCGCTCGCCGCCGTCGTCGTCGTCGTCGTCTTCGTCGCGATTGTCGTCGTCGTCGTCGTCGTCCTCCTCCTGCTCCTCCTGCTCCTCCTCCTCCTCCGCCTCGTGATCATTGCTCGCGGCGCCTGCGATGGCGCCGTCGGCAGCCGCCGCCGATAACGACGACGCCGAAGATTCCATCGCGCCGGCGGTAGCGCCGGCGCTAAGCCTCTCCGCCGTGCCCGCGCCAACGCAGGGCCCGCCGCCCGTCACCCCGGCCCCACCGCCCTCGGCCCGGAACTTTCGGTCGCTGCCATCGGCGCTGCCCGCGAGGTCGCCCCAGGCGCACGGCGTGCGCCGGTGCCTCGGGCCCTGCGGCGGCGGTGGCGCGGCGGCGGCGGCGGCGGCGGCGGCGTCCGCGACGGTGGTTGCCGCGGCGGCGGCCGACGGCGCGGAGCGCCGGCCGTCCGCGGGCTCCCTCGTGCCGGAAGGGCCGCGCGGGGCGGACGCTGCGGTCGGCAGCTGAGCTGGCGCTCGGACGTCGGCACCCTCGGCGCCGTTGCCGCCGCCGTCCGGGAGGACGCGCCGGGTGGGTTGGCACTTGCGCTTCCTCGAACCGTAGCCGGCGGCCGGGAGCGATGGCTCGAGGTCCGACGGCAGCGGCCAGGGCTCGCGGTGAGCTGCGGTGGCAGCGGCGGCGGCGGCGGCGCCGTGGCGAGCGGAGCGCGCGGGGGGAGACTCCGTGGGCGCGGGGCCCGCCGGCGACGGGGCCCGGTGGGGCCACGTGCCCTCCACGTCCGACTGTGTCCCCATCTCCCGGAACGTCTTGGGAGCGAATTTCCTGCGGAAGAAATCCTGGGCGAGAGAAGGGGACACACGGAGGAAATTCTATTCATACAGGGATTCCTGTTATCTTGCGATTCCTAATTTCTGCGACTTGCTGTGATTCATAATCCTTGAAGAGTTTTTTGTGAGCTCTTCGTCACTCTGATGAACGACAACTATCAAGGACCTCTGTTATTAGACTCCGATTACTCTGGAAATCTGTGAAAAAGAGCTTCAAAGCTCATCGGATTTCTCCAGGATAAATGAAGATGCTGATTCTGAATCATGTTATTGCACTAATTTCTACATCTAAATCAGCTCGAGCCTCACGTAAATCAGGCCGCTTCTGCATGGCCACCCCCACTCCGAAATCTCTCTCCCCGCTGCCGCCCGCTACGAAAACAGAAACCCCAACCGCCTGCATGCAGCTCACTTCTGCTCACTCCTTCTCTCTTCCCTCCGCCTCTCTCATCATCATCATCACCATCGCCCTATCTTCCCCGACATCTTGGCACGGTCCTTCCTTCTCCCTGTCCTCCTCCTCCTCCCTCCTCCTCCTTCCTCTGTCCTTGCTGCTCATCTTGAGCCATGCCCTCCTCCTCCTTGTCCGTCTATGTGCAGCGTTCTTCATCGCAAGGCCACCGCGGGGCCACTGGTGGCCCTTGCTGCGGCCCCTGACATCCCCCCACCCCCGACAATACACAAAGAGTGAAAACATCCCCCATCATCATCATCGTGCTTCTGTCCAGCCCAACAATGGTTTCAAATAATGTGTGGTGGCCCCTCACACTGATGATGTCTTATGGGCAAAAGTGCCCACCCCGCCTTTGAAAATTAGTGAAGAATTCTGATCTCGGGGACTTCCGTACCGGCTTCCCTCCCCTGCTCTCCGTGCTGCCCCCCCCCCCCCCTCCCCAGCCCCCCACCCCCTTCCGTCTTGTGCCCTCTTTGCACCACACACACTCGACTCCCCTCGCCACGGGCCCCACAGTTCCATAGACCCTCCCTACACGGCCACTGCATGCTGCACGGGCTCGTCAATGGATGCAGTCGTTCACAGAAGCCAGAATCAAGGCACACGCATAACATTCATCAGGGTCCCTGTTGGTGATGCTCGAGGCTCACAGAGCCAGACTAAAAGACGCTCGTGACATTCTTCAGAGTTCTGATGAATGTTAACCACCTCGCCTGGTATACAGGAGGTTGTGGGTTTGATGCTGACCCTGACGCCTGCTGCTGCTGCTGTATATTTGGAGTTTGTTTCTCACTCTTCCCGTGGCTTGCGTGGATTTTTCTCCGGGTCCTTCGGTTCTCCCCTCCACATTTATAATCAACGTCACCACGCGTTTAGAGTATTCGCCTGCTCTAAATGTATCCACGTGATAAGCCACTCTGTTGAGCTTGTGATAGCTATTATAGGTCAGTGAGCCTTACCTGGTAAATTAAAATAAAATAAATTTCGATTTAAAGCTTTCGTGACTGCAATGATTCATCTTCTTTGGTTCTTTCAGTAAAGTCACGTAGAATGAAAATAAAATAATAAATTGATCAAATAAAATGACACAATAATATTCTCACGACGTTTCGGCCACTTGTGTTGTGGCCGAAACGTCGTGAGAATATTATTGTCATTTTATTTTATCAATTTATTATTTTATTCTCATTCTACGTGACTTTACCGAAAGAACCAAAGAAGATAAAATAAAATAATTGGAAAAATAGTTTAGTTCTGGGAGATTAGAGAACTGTGCGTTGACTTGGAGCGTACAACAGTTAGTCAGTCTTTCTTCCAGTGGATGGACTGGGGCCCGGTATGAGAACGTGTAATGGGGATTGGGGGGGGGGGGGTCAGACGTCGACGCTCACCTCGTCGAGGTCCCAGAAGCAGAAGAGGCCGACCGTCTGTGTAGAGGCGTCGACTCGCATGGCGGCCATCGTGAGGCCCCCCCCCCCCCCCCCCCGGGGTCGCCTGGCACACGGCGGCCGCTGGGAGGGGCGCGGGTGGAACAGGGGGAGCGGTGGTGGCACGGTTAGCGACGCGGGGCGGGTGGTAAAGGCGCAGCCCTGCAACTTGCGTGGTCGCCCCACCGCTGGCAGAAGCCGGGGAGGCCCTCTCCATTCGAGCGACCTTTACGAGAAAGGGCATTCGGCCTGCTCTTCCACGTTGGAGCAGACGAGTGGTGGGCATACCCACACTTTGCCCCACCGTCACGTCGCCTGCCGGTCGTCTAAGCGTGGTGAACCCATTAGACCAGCTGGGTGGATAGAGGCGGGAGTGAGGGTGGTGGTGGTGGTGGTGAGCGAGATGGTGTGCGGGTCATTTGAGAAGATCCTGCCGCAATTGTTCAACTGCCGCAGCCGGGAGATGGAATCGAACCTGCGCCCTCTGGACCGCGCAGTTCAGTATGCTGACTGCAACCGCCGCCAATTGTGGCAGCGGGTACCTTGAGAGTCACTCTCCACTACGACACCAGCGATCGCCCTGCATTATGTTGTGTACACAGGACCCACATCTAAACACACACATACACAGAGGGTCCATGTCTAAGAACATCTGTCAGTTCACCAGCCATGGCCCAAGCAAGCCTGACTGCAGATGAGGCACTGAATGTCAAAACCGCCGTGGCTCGCTGTTAACTACCGCGCCTGGTATACAGGCAGGGGCGGAGCCAGGGGGGGGACAGGGGGGGTGACATTCTGCGTATAAGTGTACGACACTCGGTCTGGCGGACTCCGTGCAACTGCATCGTCAGAGCGTGTCGCCAACCGATGGCGTCTAGTTCAACAGCCTGACTCTCTAATCATTCTTGAAATTAACATTTGTTGAATGTCACCCCGGCCTGAAATCCTGGCTCTGCCCCCGTATACAGGCGCGCGTGGGTTCGATCCCTACCCTGACGCCTGCTGTACATTTGCGTGTCTCCCCATGGTGGCGTGGATTTTTCTCCGGATTCTCCGCTATTTCCCTTCACACATTGGAAGCAAGCGTTTAGAGTATTTTGGCTGCTATAAATGTGCGCATTATGAGCCCCTACGTTGACCTAAAATTTGTTGGACAGGTCATTTCTGCAAAAGAGACGTGGAGCTCATTGGGTAAGTACATTTTCACGTAAGAGTTTAATAGTTTGTGTTGAACCAATCCTGCTCCCAGAAGGTCGTGTGGCTGATAGGATGTGTAAAAAAAAAAGCAATGCTTTGTTACTTAACGAGACGAGGCTTCCCCGGGTAAGGGTAACGTTGGAGAGTTCGTGATGGCTCGTGGCAGGAGAGAGTTGCAGATGTAAGGAGGTAGCGATGGGTGGGACGCGTGGTGTGTAGGGTGGAGGGGGGTAGGGTCAGCAACTGTAGAGGGAGAGAGAAGGGAGAGGGGAGAGAGCGACATGGAGTAGGAAGAGAGGGGGTAGAGAGAGAGGGGGGGGGGGCAGAGAGGGGGGTAGAGAGAGAGGGGGGGGTAGAGAGGCGGGTAGGGTAAGCAACTGTAGAGGGAGAGAGAAGGGAGAGGGGAGAGTGTGTGAGAGGGGGAGGGAGAGGGGAGAGTGTGTGAGTGTGGCAGGAAGGGAGATCAGAGGGAGAGAGAAGGGAGAGGGGAGAGTGTGTGAGAGTGGGTGGGAGAGGGGAGAGTGTGTGAGTGTGGCAGGAAGGGAGATCAGAGGGAGAGAGAAGGGAGAGCGTGTGAGAGTAGGAGAGAGTGGGGAGAGTGTGAGAGTGGTATGGAGGGAGATTGCAGGGTGAGAGAAGGGGAGGGGAGCGTGTGAGAAAGAGGGGAGAGAATGTGAGAGTGTGTGAGAATGGGAGGGGAGAGTCTGATAGTTCCAGAGGGATGGCAGAGTGTGAGAGTGTGAGATAGAGTGTGAGAGTGTGAGAAAGAGGAGAGCGTGAGAGTGGGAAACAGAAGGGAGAGAGTGGGAGAGTGGAGCGAGTATTTGAGAGTGGGAGAGAGAGGAGAGTGTGTGTGAGTGTGTGAGAGAGGACGGAGCAATGTGTGGTGGGAGATGGGGGAGAAGGGACGTCGAGAGAGGTATGTGGGGAAGAAATTAGAGCAATGGAGAGAAAATGTTGGAGTGATGGAGCGGGGGAGGGCAGAATGGGAGATGGACCGAGCGAGAGGGAGGATGAAATAGATAAAGGGAGAACGCAAGGCGAGAGAGTGCGTGGGTGTGTGTGTGTGGTGTGTGTGTGATGTGTGTGGGTGTGTGTGGTGTGTGGTGTATGGTGTGTGTGGTGTGCGTGGGTGTGTGTGGGTGTGTAAGTGTGTGGTGTGTGTGAGTGTGGTGTTTGTATGGTGGGTGTGTGTGGTGTGTGTGGGTGTGTGTGTGGTGTGTGTGGTGTGTGGTGTGTGTGTGGTATGTGTGAGTGTGTGGTGTGTGAGTGTGGGTTTGTATGGTGTGTGTGTGGTGCGTGTGGTGTGTGTGGGTGTGTGGTGTGCGTGGGTGGTGTGTGGGTGTGTGTGGTGTGTGTGTGGTGTGTGTGTGGTGTGAGTGTGGTGTTTGTATGGTGTGTGTGGGTGTGTGGTGTGTGTGAGTGTGGTGTTTGTATGGTGTGTGTGGTGTGTGTGTGGTGTGTGTGGGTGTGTGTGGGTGTGTGTGGGTGTGTGTGGTGTATGTGTGTGGTGTGTGGTGTGTGTGGGTGTGTGGTGTGTGTGTGGTGTGTGTGTGGTGTGTGTGGTGTGTGTGGGTGTGTGTGTGGTGTGTGTGGTGTGTGTGTGTGTGGTGTGTGTGTGTGTGGTGTGTGTGTGTCCGGCAAAACAACCCCCTACCTCCTCGCGGTGCCGGACGGGCAACTCTGTCGTGGACAGTGCTGTGGGGGGAGTTCCAATTTTTGATTGGCTCCTCCCCTCATGGCATATGTGTCCACCACAGGGGCTAAACGGGGGCTCTGGACGGGTGCGAGGGGCTGGTAACCCCTCCACCTTCAATTAATTACCACAAAACCACGAATTAAAGTGAAATATGTAACAACTAAGCTTGTGCCGGAGGCCCCGGGGGGCCAGGCGTCTATGACGTCTCCTGGCCAAACCCCAATTGGCGGAGCCAGGAGATTGAATACCTACCCTCGGGGCTACTCCAGAAACAACGAAAAGCCACTACGGGTGGCCACGTGGAATGTTCGAACGCTCACTGCAGAGGAGAGGCTGCCACTCCTCTGTCGGGAGCTGGACCGGTACCGCCTGGATCTATGCGGCATTCAGGAGGTCCGGTGGACCGGCTCTGGCTCCTGCCACCATGAGGGGTGGACAGTCCTCTACTCGGGGCAGCAGACTGCCAAACAACAGGGTGTGGGTCTTCTTTTGAACAAAAGAATGAAGGGGGCGTGGGAGCGTGGCGGTGAGGTGTGGGAAGCTGTAAGCCCCAGGCTACTTTGGGCTCGCCTTCCCATCAACCGGAGGCGAGGAATGGTGGTCGTGGTTACTTATGCCCCCACCGAAGATGAACATCCGTGGAGGGATGCAGGCAAAGCCGATGAGTCAGATGCCTTCTATGACCTCCTGTCACAGGTGCTGGCTAAAGTGGCCCCTCGGGATAGAGTCATCATGTTGGGTGACTTCAATGCCCGAGTTGGTCATGATACTGGCACCTGGTCTGGAGTGATTGGAGGGCATGGGCCAGATCAGCTCAATAACAACGGTAGGAGGCTGCTAGATTTTTGTGCAGCCCATGGGCTTGTAATTACCAACACGCTGTTCCGGCATCGGCGCATCCACACAACATCATGGATGCATGCCGGGTCCAAGCAAGAACATATGCTGGACATACATATTGACGGACCAGCGAATGCGAGCCCATGTCCTTGACACCAGGACCTACCGTGGAGCTGATCTGCCCTCTGACCATCGACTAGTCATCTGTAAGATGCGCCTGCCATTCTTCCACTCCGGTGGTGGGTGTACACCCAGGACCCCATTCCAACCTAAAGTGGCCTGGTCTCAGTTATCTGATGAAAGTTGCAAGCGAGAATTTCATCATCGCTTGCGGCTGGGATTGGCATCGTCCCCGACTCCTCCTGATGTCGAGGGTAAATGGGCGAGGTTTAGGACTGTGACTCATGCAGCTGCAATGGCTGCTTTGGGTACGCGGTCCAGACCTCCCCAGACACCCTGGATGACAGAGGAGTTGTTCAGGATGGTTGAGAAAAAGCGACAGGCCCACTGTCATCGGCTACAGAATCCCACATCAGAGAATGAGGAGGCTTACCGCAGCCTTCGCTCGGAGGTTCGGAGAGCCGTGAGGCGCTGCAAGGATGGGTGGTGGTCGCGGGTTGCTGAGGAGATGGAGTCTGCCTCAGTGGCCCGTGATCACAAATCGCTATTTAACTCCATCAAAAAAGTAACCTGCAGCGCCACACCTATTACCATCATTAGGGGAAAAAACGGTGATCCAATTTCCGACCCCCAGGAACAGGTTCGCAGATTTGCTGAGCATTTCTGTGAGGTCCTGGGGGAGGGAAAATCCCACAGCCAGGAAAACATCGTGGCACAAAGTGAGGATGACCCTGCTGAGGCTGCGGTGCCTCAAATATTGGATGAAGTCACCCCCTGTGAGTGGCTGGCTGAGGTGCCATCTGCTGAGGAAGTATTGAAGGCGATCCGGAGTCTGAGACCAGGAAAGGCAGCGGGCAGAGATGATCTCCCAAGCGAAATGCTGAGGGAGGGTGGCGTTTGTGCACAGACTGCCCTATATGACATCATAACAACAGTCTGGACCACTGGACGGGTTCCGCAGGATTGGAAGGATGCCCTGGTGGTCCCCCTTTTTAAGAAGGGGGACCGCACAGACTGTAACAACTACAGGGGCATCTCACTCCTCAGTGTGCCGGGAAAGGTCCTGGCAAGGATTATTCAGCATCGCCTTGCCAGGCACGCTGAGGAGAGGCTTGCGGAGCCCCAATGCGGTTTCAGGAAAGGGCGGTCCTGCACAGATGCCATATTTTCTGTCCGT